GCTTTCCTGGATGGATGAATACCAGGAAGTCGAGAAAACTCGGCAAGCGCGGGAAGCAAACCAATCTCACACCTGACAAGGTAGAGCACTACGTGTGCCTTACGGGGGCGCTTAATGCTATGCGGACAGAGGCGTGCTTCACCTGCAACTATTTCTAAGCAAATTTTGAAGCTCATAACTTTTTTGGAGGAGTTATTAAGCAGTTTTACCTTCTGAATCGTATATGTCGTTCTTTGAAGATTTGAAATCTTTCTTGGTAAGAAAAAAGCTGGTAATAGATCCACCAGGGGAAAATATACGAGGTCGCAGTAGCCAAAACTAACTCTTGAGGTGCTGAATTTGAAATTCAGCCAAGAAACAGCTATTTATCAGGCTTTGTGGCACCAAGGAAGGGATTACTACTGGGTCCTTGAAATTCACTTAAGACGTGTGTTATTTATTACTACATCTTTGCTTTTCACTTCTGAAGCAGAGTTGTCAGGTAAGGTAGTCGAATCTTGACCTCTGCATTGTCGCTTAATACTACAGGTGCAGAGGGCTGCATTGACTAATCACTTATATGCTTGATGTAGTGCTGGCCCACGTTGTTGAACTTTCTCAAAAGACCGACGTGAGATCCACGGCCCTCAGGAATCCCGGGAAACTTGGAACACTGACAGCAAATAAATACTCCTTTCAACAATCGCGTGGAGGAAGGACGAAAAGATAACAAGAAAAAAATTTGTGGATAGACCCCTTCGCGTTGGTTGATTGATTCTTGGGAAATCACTTCGAACGCATACGTTATCAGTGAATCTATCGCTTATAAAAACTACCTTCGCCTCCATAGTTGGAGTGTCATAATCAGTCGTCATTCATTGATGTTTTCACTTCTTCTCCAGTCCTAGACCTCGGTTGCGGTTGTTCCCCCACTCGGCTTACGCTGTAGTGCAGGGAGCGAGATGTTTGGAAGCTGCTGAGCGGAGCACTTCAATGTCCATCCCTCCCGCTGTTAACATGAATGCTGGCCAGTTTCTCGAGCAGGCAGTCGTCCAACCGCTTGGTCACTGCCCCTTAAATTCTACTAACTGTATCCACAGTTTGAAAACTCACATGAATGATGATGTATTCAAATCACACTATATGTCGTGTCAGCTGTCGTTTGCGTGCCTCTGACACCTCCTGTTTCCCACTGATTACTTGGCTGGTGTCTATTTTCACTGTTTAGTCCGTACTAGTTTATCCCATTGGGTAAATTCTGAAAAGTCTTCAAAATAACTGTATTTACGCTTTGTTCTCGAATTTTGAATTTTTCTAAAACATCGTCTAGCAGTTCAGGTCCTCCCTATTCTGCTCAGCAGCTCTGGGTCTTCACTTCGCGTGGATTACTTTCATTCCATTTTCACATCCACTTTGCTTAAGCGTGCCCAGAAATCATTCTCAACAACCATATCGTCTTGAGTGACTTGTTTCCGGTCCTGATAGGTTTTCCTCACTATACAGGGTGCCCGCCTTTTCACTCATCCCAGAGAGACGCTGCTCACCCACTGCCATGTAGTCGTATAACCCTTATCAATGAAATGAGTTAGCATTGATAGCTAGGATGAGGTGATATAACGGTGTCTTCTCACCTATAGAGTCTGCCAATTGAATCTTGTCGTAAGCCTTATTCGCTATATTCAGATCATCAAGTTGCTACAAGACTTGTTTACAAAGTAAATGCATTGGCTAGATATAAAAATCGTTTTCGTCAAAGGTAGACACCATTTCGAAATGTTTGCCTTCTCGTTTCGAAATGTTAATCTTCCAAGTAAGGAAGCGCATGGGCATCTCCCCCGGCTTAGTCACCTGTACCTATAACTTTGGTGCAGTGAATCAGCTTGATCAGATGGTCAACCGCGCCCGAAATTTACTTCAAGCCCTGAGCGTCTTTACACAGCCGCAAACATTCTATCGCTGTTGTCATGTAAATCACTTGCTGTGCTCAACTTCACCCGGTGAATATACCTTTGCCCTGCTAAATACTTCTAATTTGCTGCCTTTCACATTTTTTAAACCGGGTACCTCTCCTACATCGTCGCTGTGAGTGTCAGTATCCAACCTTCGCTCTTCTCGTTAGAAGGGTTTTCCCAAACATTGAGATTATGATGAACTACACACCACATACTCACACGAATATTAACATAATCGATTCTTAATAGAACTGTAAATATTCATGGTTTTCACCGAGCCAGATGTGTGTTGACCTTGCTCCATGATTGGAAATTTTCTCAAGTTCATGTGAACTCGTATGTGAAAGGCGTTTCAATGGATGGGTGGCCCTGATTTCCATAAATTTCACATCAGAGCATGACTTTAGAACGGTTTTTGTAGAACCTCATCTCATCTACTTCAGCCTTCCAGTAATATAAAAAAGTCTAGAAGTGAGCCCACAAAATGTGAATTGGAGGGAAGCCAAAGGTGTTTTTTCGATTAAACGACTCCGATGTAAAAGCTTACACGTTGGCTTGAACTCCATTACTGGAATGCACGGATGTTTTGTGGATAGAGATTAGGTGCAAAAGTTGATCCCCGGGTGATACCTGAGGTGGTGCCTTCACTTCAGATATTACCCGGGGATCAATTCTCCCACCGATCAAAATATTCGTCGACACCAACCAAGGTTTCTATCTTTATGGAACTTTATGGAGATTATTTGGTACTAGACTAGTAATGTTTTTGTAGTTTCGGTACCATGTTCACGATTTTCAAATGTAATTGAGATGTAATGCACTATTTTTGTAAGATCTATTCATTATTTCTTTGGAAGCATGTAATCAACCCCCTATAAGCGACAGCCAACGCATAACTGAAAGACAAACATGAGCCCATTTCAGTGACGGTTACGAACACTTCGTACGATTTCAGGAACTACTACCACACGAGTGATCACCAGGCTTTGCATATCGATGAGCGCTCGCTAACGCTCGTCCCGTTCCCTCTTTTTTTTTTTGAAGTCATCGGATCAACGTGTGGCGTGGTTGCTGTGGCATTTCATTAAAGCACTGGCTAACGTTGCACACAGCAATTCACACTCCCGTTGCCTTTTGGGCCCACTTCTATAGCATCGGTAGGGACCGAGTAGGACATAACAGCTTACCCGTAAAAGCCGATCAGATCTTACCTCCTCGGCTACCCTTCCTTTTCTCTGGAAACCTTGATGCTGCCGTAAATGTAGTGCTGCCCTATCTTGCGCTAATAGCGATTTGTAGGTGAACTACCACTCTGAGTTTAAAAGATTTCGAGTAAATCGACATCTTCAGCGGCTCAGTATGAACCTTTGTTTACCTCCAAATGTCGCATTCCTTTTGAAAATTCAAATAGTCAGAACCGTTTACTTTTAGTGATCGGTTACTTTAAGTTACTCGTTGTTTGCCGATTATTTATACTTTACTCGATACGTGCATGGTTATAGAAAGAAATCTGTTTCATTGTTTCCGCAATTCTAACTGAGGAAAACCTTCGTAAGGTTCACTTCTATAAGATTTTTTCTTGTTTAGAAGGTTCGCACCCCGATTGCTACTATCCTGAGCTGATCCCATTTTGTGTACCCATAGAGCTGATTACTTCATAAGAGGATGAAGTGGCTGTTCGAGTCTTTACCGAGTCATTGAAAGGGTCATACAGAGAACGTGGTTAACTTCAGAGGGTGAGATGACAACGTACAACCAGAGCACCTCGTACAACAGGACCTACGAGAAGAAAGTGATCGAAGAAACACCTCGAATTCGAATAGCGTCTCATCCACAAACTTCTCCATTCACATCTCATATATTACCGGTTTGTTTAAATTGGATTTTATTCGAGATGAACTCATAGTTTTTCTCTTCTGTCCCCAAGACTTTTTTACCCTCGAAATGATAGGACTCAACAACTACTCAGCCTCACTCAATCGCTGTCCCTTATAGCCTGGGTAATAAGCTGCGTTGCAGCTGTCAAACATCCTATTTGCCTTAACGTTTGCGAGGGATCACTGAGTGAGAAGAGAATCTATCAATCGTTAGATCTTTTTTATTTCTGAAAACAAATAACACAT